ATCGGCAAATTGGTTAAAATTATAAGTAATCTACGAGAGAGGGATTCAGCTAATTGGCTTAGGCACTAGATTTGTAAGAAATGGGTACTAGGTTTGAATCCCATACACCCTTACTTCACTCGGGACAGTATCATCAGCCTTCACGGAATAAGTGTGACTCCTGATCACGTCAAATCTACTACGTGGATCACGCATTTATGTACTTAACACAACAGAGCTAATATTTTATATAAACCAAACTTCGGCGTTCCAATACATTTACTCACCTGCTGCCGTTAGCCTAGCACAACCCGAACATAGTGTAAAATTTTCGACTTAATTATCATCCTTATTAGATAAGCTTATGTTATTAATCACACAGTGATGAAGTGTTAACAAGTGGATGACGTTTCAAGAATAATTTAGTCACACATTTGCACAATTTGTCTCATGTATATTTCCTCTCTTTCTGTCTCTCCAACTTCCCTTTCTTGTTTGTTGCTACCTTCCTTATCTCCGGTAAATGCATTGCGTCATTCTGATTGCACATGTGTCGGTCGGTCGGTCGGTTTTCGACATAGAATTTTGCATATATGTGCAGCAGTTCAAGTCGCCACACTCCATGTAGCACACAAAGCAACAGAAGAAAGTAGGAGAAATGTATAATATAGACAGTAAACAGAGGTGTGAGACAAAGGAATAGCAATAACGAAGAACAAAACAGTTAAATTGGAAATCATGAGTCACGAGGAGTCGATGCATCTGCGCCACTGAGAACGATTTTGAGCCATGTCACCAATTGTTTCCAACCATTGGTTTTTACCGTCCTTAGTACCCCAACCAGGAAGTCCACATCTTCCTACATGGCTTAGACTAACTGTTGCAGATTTCTTTGACTGGTGCCATGTTTTCGTTTGACCACCGCTAGCTCTTTTTCAGCCTGACCTTATGTCAGCTAACATTGCCCATTGTCGAGGAAGGCGATGACTAGGCATACGTAACACATGTCCTAACCATCTCTCTCAGTCGATGTAATTTCACAGTCTCGTCGACTGATTTCCCCGCCTTACTTAGCACTTGATGCCTAACCTCAATATTGCTCACCTTATCATACCACTTCACGCGGGAGATAGAACGCAGACACCTACGATCGAAGACAGCTAATCTTTTCATGTCTTCCGCTCTCAATGACCAGGTCTCACAGCCATAAAGGAGGACAAAGCGGACTGTTGAGCAGTACACACGCCCTTTGGTCGAAAGCCAGTCGGATATCACGTCTACGCCAGAGACGGCGGAAACTGGCATATGCGAAACTAGCTCTCTGTATCCGTCCTGGGATTTCTTCAGAGATTAACCCGTTGGGGCTGATGGTACTTCCCAAGTAAGTGAAGCGGTCAAAGTGCTCTACCACTTCACTTCTTATTTCTAATCTAGGGGTCGGGACAAGTTCAGTAACTAGCCTCTCTCTTCACCTAACTATATTACTGTTTAATACTGTCACTCTGCCCCACCCTGTCATTGTATGATTACATGCAAGTGAACGCTACACAACGGTGCAGCTTTTTCTCACATTACTCAACTTCGCAGGGTCAATTATTCTAGGTCTAGCTAATTTGTTACATTCCAGCAATCTAGTTGACTCTGATCTACTAGTTTCACATATGATGTAATTAACCTCACTTATAGTCATATATAACTTTGTCGTTCGAGTGGAATAGTGCTGATGCCTGTCACTTCTTCTTCTCACTGGTTCATACTGCCCTCTTGCTCCGCTAATACCCATGCTTTATTCTTTTAAATTTGCAAGAATGAATCATCCTTGTCCGAAGGCTATGCAACAACCGGTAAACAACTTCTACGAGTGAGTGCGACTCCAGCATTGTAGCAAAGGTCTATAACTGTATTTTCAGCTAACCAATAACCTTTATAATTCCATAATATACTGACTCAATATTCTTTTATTAACTCAGATTTGTATTCTGATGTTTTTTACCGTTATCGAGCTCACTGTTAAGTCTCCTTTAAAGGCGAACCAGGGAGGAATGGACAACTGTTTCGCCCTATCTGGGGACTCTTCATCAATGCATACCCCACAAGCCCACCAATAATCGGATCCGAAACTTTCACATCACAAGACAAAGCTCATCGACCATTCAGCCACTCGAGCTATTTTATATTGACCTGGAGGTCCCGAGTTTGATCCGTGGTGTAATCGGGGTCATCGAACGGTGCTAAAGAGTGCTAAAATATGACGAAACAGTTTAGTCAGTGCTCTGAATGATGTCTAACCTTTGAAATAAAATACAGGAATGAAATTGACCAACAAATTCAAAAGGTTTTTTTGCAGCCCTGCACTTCAGATCTTCATCAACCTCGTCTGATTTTCGCTAGCCAATATTAAGAGGTTAAAAAAGACAGGAGAGTTCAGCGATGAGATTGACAACTCTTCTAATTTTTCTAAATAAAAACAACACCACTACTAATACTAGTAGTAAGACCCCCGAGCTCGAACTTGAAGTTCTATTTTTCACCCAGAACCCAAAACAAATCAGAAAAGTCTAGGTTTTTTTGTTGATGTAGTCGAGGCAGCAATTCAAAACAGTTGATTTGAAGTGTTCTGCACTTTCATATGAAATTGGGACTAGATCATTCGTCTGACTAATCAAATTCTCGAATTGTACTTTGGTGTTCAATTCATTTACTTTTGATGATGCATCACAAAATTTTGGTCCGAGCGACAACAAAGTAATATACAAGATTCAATCAAACTTATCAAAGGGAGTGAAATCAAGACATTTGGGCATAGCTGAGGCGTTAGCTATCCAAAAACTCAAACCCACCCTTTGTATCCAAAAGAAATACATTCAACCCCTGTCCCTGCCATGGCCATCATAAACAGGTAAATTTTTTAATAATGACCATCCCATCGCCCTTCTTATCTAAACTTCCTGTTAATTCATGTTATTTTAAGTTTTCTTAATCCCTGTCTACACTACCATATTTTCATATCCACACTTCCTGTTTATTTTGTCATTTTATTATTTCTACATATTTAATCCCTGATTGCATAAACAATTATTCGTCACACTAGTTTCTTATCCAAACATCCTGTATATTTTGTTATTTTTTACATTTCTAACCCCCAATTGCACAATGTCAATTATCTTAGTTATTATGCTACTTTGTTTGAGTTTTACCCATCCCCCTGTTTATTATGGCATTCTAATTCCTAATTGTAATTTTTATTAATTCAACCCCTAACCAGAAATTGTTCTGGAACTTTCCCATCCATTTGATATAAATACACGAATGTACAGCCTAGATGATGACTTCGTCGAAAAGAAAATTTTCTTCGCTGCAACTGTCTTTCTATTCCCTATGATCAAATGTGTATATTCCGTGATTTGAAGACGAGCAAAGACCGTTCGACGGTAAAGGAACTGAACAAGTTTCTACATTTGTCCGTCAAGCTTGCTGAAGCGAATGAGAAGATTTCCTTCTGGAAAAGCTGTCTGGATAAGCATGAATACCCGAAAGCATTCTGGAAAAATCCGAGACGAAACCATATATCCCCCAATTCACGCACGCTCAGAAGACACACCCAGAATCACATTGATGCCGTTCGATCCAGATTAGCTGAACTGGAACAAAACGTCTCAATAAGCTCCCACGTTCTTTATGATTTAACTGTTGATGAACGGGCGTCATTCGAACACTACGCCAATACAGTCTCAGAGAAGAGAAAGGAAAATATCATCATGAAACTTAAACAAAGCCTAAAATCAGTCACCAAGGAAACAGCTTTCCCATCTTGTCCCGAGAAATATGTATTCAATATTTCTGATGTCTCACTTTCACCGATTCAAATCAGAAAAGAGAAAGACCAAAAGAAAATATTATTACGTAACCTATACATATATATATTTAGTAGAGCAGATGGAAATTTAGAGCTGTCGTCATACAAACACATACACATCGACATACAAAAAAGGGGCGAATTTTCAGAAAAAAAGCATGAAAATATATACGAAAGACAATGAAATTATTGAGTTTTTTTTTTAACACTGGGAAATATTTTTTTTCTTTTGCTGTACACACATTCCAAAAAACAACAGGCGACTGATCACAGGGTACAAGATGACATTGATTAGAAGAAGAAGGCGAATAGGATTCAAAGGAGAGAGAAGAGAGAAGTAGCAATGGTTCACGCGGGGGAGGAACAATTTTTATGAATGCACACACACACAGAATAGAATGATAACCCTATCAATTAGTAATGAATACAATGAGTACTATTCGTGGCCCTATCAAAATGATTTATACCACAGAATTCAATCTATAAAGAGACAAGTAGGGGGCGGAGGTTGGTGGAAATATGTTTACATATGTATATAAAAATTCTCGAAAAACAGAGAAAATACAAAAACAATGTTTATTTTGTGCGTAAAGAATTAGGTAATGTTGCATCAGCAGGATCCGCGGTTATGTGACACAGTTTGAAAGTAAGAGGGAAAGAAGAGGGCAAACAACACACTCAAGGAACCAAAAGCATTACAATATCCATAGCAGATATCGAAGACTATTCATCTACCATGTTTTTTTCCTCTTTCTCCTCCTAAGGATGTCATTGTAGAATATCATTGGGGTGGGAGAAGAGGCGACAGGAGAGGAAAAAGACGGTAGTTTCTGCCATCAAACAACAAGAATAATAAAATAATAGAAAAGAACGATGGAAGGCGAACTTACTTACCCAGTTATAATCATCCTAGAATGAACAGAAATGTCAACTGCGATAGTACGTGTATGTATGTATGTTTGTATGCATGTATATGTGCGTGCGTGTGTGTGAGTTTTAAAAGGAGACTGATGGACAGATAACATTCCATGTAGCATAGCAGAAGAGGAAGAAGAAGAAATAGTACAGTGACAGTGAATACTGTTCGTTCATTGATTCATTCATTCATTCACAAGCAAGCAAGACGGATTACTTCATTCTCACCCCCCGACACCCATCGCACACCATGGTATGACATGATTTTATCATCATAGGTCAAAACTATCACTTCTTATTGTCCGTGTAGAACTATTTGATCGTGAAAAACATGATCCAGCACATGTATACGATGGTTCAAAGCGTAAATAGCTGATGATTCTACGCGGGAGATCTAAGTGTTCAAGGTGTTCATCTTTGCAAAGCTTTAGAAAAAAAAAGGGGGGAGATAAATAATGAAGTTGTTTAACGATTGTAATCACAACAACAACAAAAATAGAATATTGAGAAAGTTTATGCAATGATCGATTACTTCTTATATGTCTACCCGGATAATTTTCTGTTGATATTTCTGAAAGGAATCGACTAACCAATTTCTCGGCATAGAAGCCAGTTGAATAACGCTCATCTGTATGCTTTCAGTTTTTAAAAGTTTGATTGGTTTCAAGTGTAACCATGAATTGACTTTCATGCTACATAACTATTTCCTCCGAGTTTGGGGCTCTTCAACAGAACGCAGCCATCACTCCACCTATTAGGGATCCTAATTAGGATATATTATTATAAAATGAACTCGGTTGAATTCTCCATGTATGATGATATAATTGTGTCTCCTGGCAACCATCTTCGTGACTGGTATTTGATTTACATCTCTATTGATGATTGAATTGGAGTTTATCCATAAATGAATAAAGAGCATATCTGAAGACATCAACTTCACCACGAGAGAAGAACAATTAGACAATAAAATTCCATTTTTAGATGTCTTAATCAACAGGAGCACTAAAAGAAACACAAGTATACAGACAGCCAACGCATACAGACCAAATACTCAACTACAATAGTAATAACCCAATCATCCAAAAAAGGAAATTGTGTGCAGACATTGTTTCAATGATTTCAAACACACATTGTAGCACTACTCCTATGTTGAAGAGAATAGAAGAAAAATACCTACTAACGGTCTTCAAATTTCATCAAAAAGTATTTGAACTCAAGTTATAATACCAACAAGAAACTATCATCAAAGATTACAAGAAAATTCATTCGGCCAAATATAAAAAATATCTCCGAAATAACAGCTAGAATATTAAGACCGCCAGCCAGCTAGCCAGTCAAATCACTTTATTCCTCGACATTGTGCAAACCGAAAGATCCAACAGGAAAAGAAGATAAAATGAATACCATTTACAAAATAAAGCGCATGCATGAACTAAAATAAACATTACATCGGCCAAAGTGGGCGTCCCCTTCGAATCAGAAACCAGGAAAACAAATCAGGTGTGAAAAGACATGATATTTATTCTTTTGTATCAATGCGTGTAGATAATTATGGACACAAATTTGATGATTGGGATAATGTAGAGATTTTAAATACAGGAAACACTTAAAGCAATGCTAGAGAATTCCTAGAAGTCTGGTACTCAAATGAATTAGCAGTTAGCAAACATATTAATATAGACGAAATTTGCAAGTTAATAAAAGGTAAATCTCATGCATTTATTCCCCTTAATGAATTTGAACAAAACAAGAACTACAGTTTCATGGGGTCATTTAATATAACCTCCTTGTTTACAATGATTCCAATCAACGAAACTATTGAGATCATTTTTCAGCAGTCTGATCTTCTCCCACTCCCAGAGTCGGAATTCATACGCCTACTACTTATGTGTACCATGGATGTGCAATTCCCGTTTGACAACAATCTTTACCGCCAAATAGATGGTGTAGCTATGGGCAGTCCACTTAGCCCTGTTTTAGCAGATATATTCATGTCCAACCTTGAAAGAACAAAGTTGGAGCATGCGATCGGCGAAACAACTTCCTGCTGTCGATGTGTTGACGACATTTATAGTGTGCAACAATGAAAGTCATGCTTCACACTTACTCAGATTATTCAATGATGGACACACCACTATTGAGTACACTATGGAACATGAAAGTGACGGTAGGTTTCATTTCCTCGACATTGCCATGAAACACCTAGAAGACGGTAGTCTTCGGAAGTCATTTTATCGAAAGCCTACCTGGAAAGGACAATACTTATAGTTTAATAGCTTTTGTCCAAATAGCTTTAAACGCGGACTAGTCAAGACTCTATACTATAGAGCGAAGAGAATAAGCTCTATAGAGAAATTACAGGAAGAATTTGATTTTCTTGAAAAGATATTGAAGAGCAATGGGTACCCTCAAAGGTTCATCAACAAGTATGGAAGATCTGAAGTCACAAATGTAAAACGAATCACAGTGGGTAAAAAGCCAATCTATATTCAGCTTGAGTATAAAGGTGCAAAACATTGCAGCTATGATCAACAGAAGGCTGAGTATATCACTAGCCATAGCCTATCATGCAGCTAGGCTCGTCCCTGTCTATCGAACACCTTGCTCTTTGGTGCAATCAAAAATCGATGGATATCCTTATCATGTTCACTCCAACTATATATATAAATTTACTTGTATCTGCGGAAGCAGTTACATTGGAAGGATAGAAAGAAGAAGGGCATATCTACGGTTTTCTGAACATGTACCAAAAAGTTAATGTCTAAAAAGAACAAATTCTTTAAACAGTGCCATCTCCAGGCATCTCCTTGACACGGATCATGAGGTGGACGTCGCAAAATCGTTTAAAATTACCAATAGGCAAAAGAGCTCAATTCTCCTCAAGTTTGCTGAAGCCATCTACATCAAGCGCCTGAAACCTGATTTGTACGTTCAGAAAGAAACCGTTATCAGTCTTTCTTTGCCCTGGTAACTGGATATTTTTCATCTCTGTTTCATCTGAATGCGTAATGCTGAAACGTTTCCATTGTGTGTGTTTATTATTGTTCGGAATTGTGTTTAATACTGCATATATATACGTATATATTTATGTATTATTAGTGTATGCGTATACTGATCGATTGATTTTTGTTTAAAAGTGAACTCTGTGTGCAAGTATGTTAAAATTGTTTTTGTAGATACATGTAATAATGTCTTTGGCCTGTAAGCAGCTGACGAGAAGGTAACGAAATAAAAGACGGTACCATTTTATTCTGATAAAACTGTAGCTCTTGCTTTGTTCAAAAAGTAAATCACGTGATAAGAAAGTTCGAACTTCAAATCAATAAAAATATGATCAATAGAGATGTAAATCAACTAGCAGTCACGAAGATGTTTGCCAGGAGACACAATTATCCATAGAGAATTCAAACGAGTTCGGACTTCATACTAAAACCTTCGCTGAAGATGTCGTCTATACAGCAGGGGACGACGAAAGCTTCGCAAATAAATTTTGAACCAGCCCACAGAATACATCTAATTCAATATCAACCACCTGAGCTACAAATCTTCTCTATTATTTCAATATTTTGATGATATTCGACTATCTTTCAACAACCTCGCAGTTGATGTTAAGAGATTAACACAAAAGCGAAGTTATATTTCTTCTTCCAAATGAAAGCAAAATGTATATCTGTACTAAATGTAGGCCTAAAAATATGCCTCAAGGCATAAAATTATTTAGAACATATGGAGGACATCTGAATCCTTTGAAAAGACAAATGCAAAAATTGTTTTTTTTTTATAAAAATACCAGCATATATAATTACAAGTTTCAAAAATAAAAGTATTTCTTTCATTCTTTGTAATCATCATTCGGCAACATCTGCTTTGCTTTCTCAAAGGATTTGATTTTTGATTTAGACGTCGGCAATCTTCCCTTTTACCTTACGTTTCGAGGCATTGATTACTATTTTAGCCAAGAAAGAACTATTATCATTATCGAATTTCACCGAAGGATTGATATCAGTTAGAGAACCATTGAAAACCAGGATGGATTGTCAGATAGCGGGTGTTTCGTTCTGGTTTTTAGCGCTAAAAATCACGAATTGGTAGAAGTGTACTGATGAAGAGTCCCAAACTAGGCTGACGAAACAGCTGTCCAGTACTCCCGGATTTTCTAATGGTTCACTAAGTCAGTTGTCAGCTCATGATGAAATCCTCCAGCCAATCAAACAAAAAAATTCCTACAAAAAACCAATATTTGAAAAAATTGACCTGATGCACACTAGCGACTGATGCCCTATTCAGGCAGTTACCTGAGGTTCTAGTGGGAAGCCGTGACCAGTACAGTGCAGCAGGTTGAAGTTGAGGTTTTCCAATGGTTGTCTATCTGATGTCAGCTCATGACGAACTCCTCTAACTAATCAAACATCCAGCTGACGAGTCCCAAATAGGATGAAATGCGTGTTATCCTGGATTTCACTGCTAGTCATTATCTACCAATTAACTTCTAATTACCTGCCCAGACATCGTCGAATCATCTGCACAAGAAGCCGACATTTCAACCTAAGACCGAGCACTTTGGTCCAACCAATCGACGGGAAAATCTAAACAATTCAATTAAATAATGAATATGACCCGTTGCACAAGAGGTGGCCAGCTCTCGTGGCCCAATTGGTCCAGTGGATAACGCGCTTTGGCGTTTGAAACTATGAGCACTTGGTTCGAGCCTTGGCGGGAACATCATCACTCACTCAGTGGGGAATGCGGGTACATCCCGCTGGAGGACAAGTCCCAAATAGGACGAAATGTGCGTTATCCTGGATTCTGTCACTGCTAGTCACCACCCACCAATTAACTTCTAATCAAACAAAATCTTTACAAAAACCCAATACTTGAAAATTGACCTGATGCTCACTAGCGACTGGCCCTATTCAGGCGATTAACCTGAGGTTCTAGTGAGAATTCGTAACCAGTAGAGTGCAGCAGGTTGAAGTTGAGGCAGTAACTCATCGAGCAAGAACACATTGTGAAGTGGCCGCGCTATGTCATGAAATGGCATAAGTTAGAATTCATGCAATGGCCATTGGATCTCGTCCCAGTGGCTTATTGGTCTACGAGCTCGCTAGCCTTGTAACCAGAAGGTCCTCGGTTCGAACCCCTGTGGTGTGGGTGCGTACATCTGAAGAGTCCCAAACTAGGACCAAGAGGCTTCCCAGTACTCTCTGACTGGTTTTCCAATGACGAAATCCTCCAACCAATCCAAACATTCGTCCAAACAGGAGGAAATGCGCATCCTGGATTCCACTGCTAGTCACTATCCACCAATTAACTTCTAATTACCTGCCCAGACATCGTCGAAGCATCTACACAAAAAGCCGACATGTCAACCTGAGACCGAGCACTTCGGTCCAATCAATTGATGGAAAAATCTAAAATTCAATTAAAATAATTAATATGACCCGTTGCACAAGGAAAAGGTGGCTCCTGTGGCCCAAGTGGTCTAGTGGATAACGCTTTGGCGTTGGAAACTATAGGGATTGGGTTCGAGCCTTGGTGGGAACATCATCACTCACTGGGGAATGCAGGCACATCCAGTTTTCTGACGAGTCCCATCCACCAATTAAATTTTAATCAAACAAAAAAATCCCTACAAAAACCCAATACATGAAAATTATCTTAATGCTATAATTTAAAAAATAATTAAAAAAATAAAATAAACTGAAATTTCTCCTTACTTGACGAATTCTTTGTCTAGCTAACGCTTGTAGTTTAGGCGGTGGAGGTAGCTGATAAACAAGGAGTACATCAATTTGTACTGATGGATTTGTCGTTGAATTGCCGATAGTAATAACTCCACTATTATTATTACTAGTAGTAGTAGCAGTAGTAGAAATAGCCGGGGTAGTCGCAGTTGTACAACTAGGATTTGCAGAAGAAGACTGATAACGCGTGCCGACAAGTGGTGATTCAAAAGATGATGTTGTAGTCATAGGACGATGATGAGAAGTGGCGGGAGTAGTAGTAGTAGTAGTATTTAACTCTGAAGTTGAAGAACCACCACCACCACCGGAAGACAAATGAACTTTTGACAATGGAGAAGGTAGAGAAGTTGAAAGATGATGACTTAGATTTAAATTTCGCGGTTGATTGAATAAACAAGCCTGTGAATTGATTGCTTGTTGCTTTTTTAATTCATTCTAAAAAGGATAAAATAGAAAGTAAAAGGGAAAATTAAAGCTGGAGTGCCTGGTGTGCGATGTTACTCAACGGTCTGCTCAATGTGTAAGCGATCCATCTCCGCCCCCACTTTCTGCTCCTAAGAGACTTCTCTGATTGGACTCTAGCAACTAGCGTGAGGTGTCTAGTCCTTTCTTCGGTGCAGACTCTTACGTATGCCTAGGCATCGCCTTCCTCGACAATGGGCAATGTTAGCTTACATAGAGTCAGGGTGGAAAAGAACTAGCAGCGGTTAAACCAAAACATGGAACCAGCCAATGAAATCTACAACAGTTAGTCTAGGCCACGTAGGAAGATGTTGACTTCCTGGTTAGGGTCCTCAGGACGGTAAAAACCAATGGCTGGAAACAGTTGGTGACATGGCTCATGCTCATCGTTCTCAATAGCTGGTGCAGATGCATCCACTCCTTGTGACTTATGATCTCCAATGAAACTGTTTTGTTCTCCGTTATTACTATTCCTTTGACTCACACCTCTGTTTACTGTCTTTAATATGCATTTCTCCTACTTTCTTCTCCTGCTTTGTGTGCTACATGGAGTGTGTCGACTTGAACTGCTGCACATCTGTGCAAAGTTCTATGTCGAAAACAGACAAACTAAATTCTATCAGTCAGGTTTGTAATGTGGCCACCATTCTAGGTGGCTCGCCATCACGGTGTACAGTGATTTGATGATATTAGATGGTTGGAGGCAATCAGCCACAGGAAGCCTTGACTAGATCTAGGTTTCGTGCTAGTTGGCACTCACCAGTCAGCAAGGCGTATCTGCAACCACAAAGGAATTCATGTCCCCTCTGAGATACGAACCCGCGTCACCCAGAGCTGTCGGCAGTCAAAGACGTTACCACTGAGTTATTCGGACTCGCGATTGACCTCCTGTAGGACTGTAGTGGTGGTTACTTCTCTGCCAGAACCTACAATCCAATGGGGACTCACCGGCAGAAATACTGAGAAATCGACCGTCCCATTCACTAAGAAGAATATTATTCTCAGTTGAAATTCCGATCACTTTCTCTACAAAACCAATAATTCCTATGAATGGAAAGGATAATTTACCAGTGCTGGCCAGCCTCAATAATGTGTATCTATAAATTCACCCGCTCTAATAAAGCTAGTTATGTTGACCATACTCAGCATTTGGTATGGAAACATATCATCTAACACTTATCCCAACTACTGTAGTTCCATTCTGGAACACCTGGTTGAATCTGGACACCATGCTAATCCACAAACAAACTTAGCGGTCATCTACAAAATCAGCCGGAACCTTCTTAAAAGTGTACGAATCAGATTTCTTCAAATCACAGAAGCAATGACGCTTCAAATTGTTAAATCCTGAACTCTACATACAAGAGGAAGTTTGTTCAGTCACTAAATCTGCAATGGACCTCATATGGCTTAACACCAGATACGTAATTTATGCTTTTAGGGTTTTAATTATATTATTTTCTACGAGTTGATCACGGACTGATATCAGCTAGAGAACCATTGAAAACCAAGGAGTACTGGACAACGACAATAGTTGGGGTGGCGCTAAAATCACGAATTGGTAGAAGTTAGAATTCATGAGCCATTGAATCGGGTCCCAGTGGCTGAATGGTATACGAGCTTGCCTTGTAACCGGAAGGTCCTGGGTTCGAATCCCAGTGGGTGCGTACTGCCGATGATTCCCAAACTAGGATGAAACAGCAGCTGTCCAGTACTCCTTGGTTTTCAATGGTTCTCTAGCTGATATCAGTCCGTGATCAACTCGTAAAACATAACTAATCCTTACAAACCAAACTATAGATATATTATTTTCTTCCCTTACTCCCTATTAAATTCCTACGCCTCATTACCACTGTTGTTAAATTGACTCTCGTTCTAATTTTAGTTGAATTCCACTCAATTCCGTCTATTATATTGCGTCATTCAATTTACTTATTTTACTTTAGTTTCAACCTGATTAATGCTTTTTTATATTTAGCAGTTTGTTATCTAAAACTTAAAATTCCGATGGCACATCTTTTCACCAAAAATAGGACAAGCTACACTACACTAGTTATTGACTAGTGTCCATTCAAAAATAGCCAATACAGTAGTCCTACAGGAGGTCAGTCGCCGGCCCGAATAGCTCACTGGTAATGTCTCCGACTGCCGACAGCACTGGGTAACACGGGTCCGAATTTCAGAAAGGACATGAGTTCCTTTGAGGTTGCAGATACGCTTGCCTTGCTGACTGGTGAGTGCCAACTAGCACGATACCTAGGTCTAGTTAAGGCTTCCTGATGATTGCCGCCATCTGAATTGTGTCACATCTATAGAGGAAGATAGACGGAACTATTGCACATTACACACATATATTGGGCAAACAAACAAATCGCTGTAGTGATAACATCTGTGAAAGGTTTGGACAGTAAGAAAAAAATTAGTCCTGTGTGCACAGCCGTGCAATTCTCAGTGATTAGAGTGCTGGTCTAGTAAATCAGGGGTCAAGGGTTCAATTCCCTTTGGCGGCAGGGATTTTGATGTATCTGCTGTGTCACATGTATACACGCACAACAATTACTACACAAAACACACACTGAGACACTCTGGGGCGCCCAGACCTACACGCATAACTCATAACTCATTCGCTGACAATGACACCACCAGCCATCATCATTTCAGTGTCTATTCTGGCCCACAGAGAAGTTCTGACACGTGCACAATGAAATCAACCAGTCCGTCTGACAGCTTGAATTCCGTTCTGACCCATTCACAGATGATCGATCACTTTCCCACCTACACTTCACAAACTCTGTCAATATACAAATGCACGTAAACACATTCAAAGATCTTTCAGCCAACAATGCAACAAGAACTCCTCTCCCTCCGATTTACACCTATCTCATTCTCCATCGATCAAGCGTCCGAAAATGCCTCACAAACACAACTAACAAAATACACTGACAGGCGAAGTGACTATACCACACCACAACCTTGACACCAATCTCAACGCCGACTTGAACAACGTACACACAGACAGGCAGAAAGACAGACACACTGTCACACTAACACCAACATTCCCATCCACTTTAACATAACATCCCATTTCACTTAGTCATACACTCTGACAAATCAATTCATTTCTCCTCTGAACACCGTATTCCGTCCATCCACTCGATATCATCATTCAATCTACTAATTGTCCCTTTGCACCAACATAGGATAGCACTGACACGCACACATCGAAGCCAGTGTACAGAATTCTATGACTCTATGCCACCAATCAATACACCTGGAAATCAGTCGAATGAGTCATACAGTAAGCCGGTCAGTCATCCAGTCATCTTTCTACGCCAAGTGGAATTTGTCGTCTGGAATCGACAGACAGATAATACCAAACACAGTCATCGTCGGATGGGAGAAACAAGGCAGAAGTTCATTAATCTAAAAGAAGTGTGGAATAAGATTCAGGTCTTCATCAGTAATGCTTAGTTTATGGTTCAAAGGCTTATGGCGTCACGGAAACTGTTTCGAACAAGCTACTGCAGATTTTCATCAACATCTGAGCTTTCTGCATAATGAAGATCAGGTAGCCAGAAAGGATTAGAAACAAGGAACTGTGACAACTAACCAACCAAGAATCCATTACCCAAAAAATATACGAAATGACAGAGAGATAGATTGGACATACGCTGAAGAGATCACTGAGTGACAACACCTTGGGTGGAACCCAAGTGAGAGACATGCAGGAGATAGAGTGGGGAGATGAAAGCAAGCGTGGGACCAGTTAAAAAAGACTGAAGATAACGGGGTGGAATGGAGATATGCTGTTGAAGTCGACTGTTCCACTCGGAACCCAAAGGAATAATAATAATGTACTCACTAGATAATGTCAACGTGGAAGTATGCCTCATCGATCTAAGCAATTGATTTTTTAAATCAGTGAGGTAACATGTTTCAATCTCATTGTACCGAATTTCAGTCAGACAAGTAGCATTTTTAACCAGTAAACACCATGAGTATGGTGGTCAGTTTGTTACTGCATGCAACTACAGTGATGTTAACACACAAACAAAATCAAAGTACTTGTATTTCCAAGTCTATGAACTTTGACCAGATAATGCGTAAACATTTAACCCCAAACATGCTTGTCACTTGTTAAGTGGTGATTATATTTGATAAATTAACTTGATACCATAAGAAATAAAACTCATTATAAAAAAAGAGGAGGGTAAAATTGTACATATTGACTCGAAAATTTCCAAAACAAGAACTTCACTACCTTAACAATCACATTTTGTTTTCATGTGATTTCAACAGAAACTTCTTTCAGCTGTCCACTATTATTGTATGCTGTTGTTGCTATTACAGAAATTTTCCCCTACATGTAAAACATCCACGAATTTTGCGGCATACAAATCCACAGAGAATACATTTCTTTCCTTCAATGGATAATTTATTGACATAAGTACTCGACTGCCAACCGATGATTATTACTTTCGAATTCCGTCTCATGCAGTAAGTGTAACCAAAAGCTTCGTAGTTGTAAAAAATAAGTCTGTTTCAGAACTGACACAAATGTGAAGTTAGTCAACTATTCTCCTATACAGATTAGAAGCTTGGACTGCGAGTTACGAAAAAGATTTCCAACAGCTTGTTGCAGACTTTTATCAACAGATGCCTCCTTAGCTGGCTCCATACTGAAGATCGAATGGCCAACCGGCCAGAAAGAATTAGCGACAAGAAACTCTGGCAACAAACCAACCAAATGCTCAACAAATATGTAGGAGAAAATGGAGATGGGTGGATCGGACATACATTGAGGAAACCATCGAATGGTATCACGCGAAATGCAGGCCATCACTCGAGTGGAATCCAAATGGGGGGCGACGAATGGGTCGTCCTAGATTGACACTGAGGAAATCATATGACGAAGACATGGAGATTATGGGAAATCGTGGACCCAGCTGAAAGGGATGGCAGAAAATAGAAGAAAGTGGAGATGTGTTGTTGAAGCTCTATGTTCCACTCGGAACCCAAGGGAATAATAATAATACAGTAATAATAGTATCAGTATTATTAGGAGAAATTTTTGGTAAAGTCACCTCTGTCACTTATATAGGCAGCATCGTTTCAACTACAGGCAGGTGTCGCAGACAGCCAGAGTCGCATCAAAAAAGCCAGACACACCTTCATTACCCTGAAATCAGTGTGGAAATCTGATGCATTCAGCAAAAGGAACAAAATTCTGTATGGTTAAGAGACTTTGCGAGTTACCAAAAGCATTTCCAACAAGCTATTACTACATTCGCTCCATACTAGAGATCAGATGGCCGGCCAGAAACAATAAGCAACAAAGAACTCTGCAATGAATCAACCAAGGACGTATCATCCAACAAACATGCAGAAGAAAAATGAGATGCACTGGATTTATTAGATGTATCACACAATGAGTGAAACAGTATTATTATTTACTGGATGATGTTTCGAACAAAATTTATTGTTCATAATCATATCAATTATAATCACACGACTTCGAAACTTGAGTTTTATAATTTTCTTATTCTCTCCTATTTGTCGTCTTAGGGGTAGTAGAATTTTCCAGATATCTGTGTGGACAGGTGTTGAATCATTCCTATTACACGTGTTTGCAGTTGATTCGATAAACGAAGCTTCCGTTATCAATCTCTCCCTCCACCCTGTAGTAACGTTAGATTTTAAAACTCTCATCTTATTCCATCCCACCCTATTGTATGATTGTTTGTAATTGCATGTAGTGCTATAGCTGAACTATTCTCTAGAGAATAGAGAGAGAGAATAGTTCAGCTATAGCACTACATGCAATTACACACAACCATACAATAGGATGGGACGGGATAAGATGACAGTTTGAAAATCTAATGTTACAACAGGGTGGAGGGAGAGATTGATAACAACGGAAGCTTTGTTTATCGAATCAACTGCAAACCAACACGTGTAATAGGAATGATTCAACACCTGTCCACGCAGACATCTGGAAAATTCTGCCACCCCAAAGACGACAAATAGGAGAGGACAAAGAAAACTATAAAACTCAAGTTTCGAAGTTGTGTGATTATAATTGACGATGTGATTATGAACAATAATGAATTGTGTTCGAAACTACGTCATCCAGTAAATAATACTGTTTCACTCACTGTGTGATACATCTAATAAACAAACTAATATGGAATTACTTACTACCACAGTGCCCAAGTTTTACACATATGTTGAGATGGACTGGACACATACACGCTGAGGAGATCGTTGAATGACAACACGCGCTAAACAAGTCGTCGAGTAGAACCCGAATGGTAAACGACCACCTCAACAGTCACATGGAGGAAATCGTGTGAGAAGGAAATAACAGCTTATGGACAATCTTCGAGCCATCTAGAAAAGACTGAAAAGGGCAGTGTGGTGTGTAAATGTTCTGCTGAAGACCTACGTTCCACTTTGAACCTAATTATTTGATTGCATGGAGGGTTTCATCATGAGCTGACATCACTTAGAGAACCACTGGGAAACCAGTCTGAGAGTATTGGACAGAAGTACGCACCCACATCACAGGGTTCGAAACCAGGACCTTCTGGTTACAAGGTTAGCGAGCTCGTAGACCATTGAGCCACTGGGACCCAATCCAATGGCCAACCCATGAATTCTAACTTCTGCCAATTCACGACATAGCGCGACCATTTCGCAATGTCTTCTTCCTTGATAAGTTACTGCCTCATCTTCAACCTTCTGTAACCTACTGGTCACAGCCCCCCACTAGAACCCCAGGTCACTGCCTGAATAGGGCCTAATTGCTTATTGATAATTAGATAGAAACATTAATACAAGAGTTAAAAGAAAAGCTAACGCCCACTTACCCGTCTGCCAGAATTTTCTTTGCTTATTTCTTGACCACTGCCTTTACTGCTGACCCATTGTGAATCACAACAGGCATCAACATTTATTGATGGAACAGAATGTCTCAGAGACGCAGGTATAGTTTTACAACTAGATAGTAGGCATTCACGTGAATTAACATTAATACTTTGATTACTACTATTACTGCTATTATTATTATTATGCAACCCTACAGTTTGTCGTGTAATCAATGCTATCCTTGCTCCACACCGACTCATCACCGGTAAATAATTTGTAGGACATGTATGAATAGGACATATAGCTCGATCAAATCTTAGAATTCTTAACCTCTCTAAAGTATCCGAATTAAATATTGTCAGCCATAGTGTTGTACAACCAGGAAGTGTAGGCGCCAGCATTGGCGATGATGCATTACTTGTCTTCGATGTGTAACGTGAAGTTGATTCAACCGACTGAGATGCACTGAACACCCTCTGTTGATTACGTCCACTTTCTACTGTAGTACTGCTTGATGAAAATCGGGATGTATTAGGCGTATGACATACATCCTCCGCATAACTAGATGTTTCTGATGATAACAAAGAATTCACTGAATGACTATGATTATCGATAACAGAACATCGACAGACACGCGATTCTGTAGTAATTGTAAATAAGAAATAACCATCTCTTGAATAGAATATACTCATCACGTGTGGAAATGTACTATTGAAAGTATTCGGTGAATTCGGTGAATTCCCAGCATGATGATTTGCATCTGACGAACGTCTTCGTCGACCAGTTTCTCTAGTTGAAGTTGAAGTCGAAGTCGAAGAAGAAGAAGAAGAGGAATTGTTAACAACATACGACGGTCCAGTACGATTTGATGATGATAGTGACCAACAACAAAGTTTATTAGTTGAAGCCAAACATTCCCATGTTGGAAGTTTTACCAAACTTAGAGTGGCCTGCATTCCAGGCAACCAATTAGACGATGATGATTTGTGAGAATTCAAACTGTGCGGGAAATCCACATTAGTTATTGCTATACGTGAATTTACAAATCTTGGGTCGAAAGCAAATAACACCTGAGATGAACGAGCTGGACCAAGTTGTAGCTGGTTTTCATTTTGACTAGCGCCTCGTAATTCTGGATTCATTGAACTCGATGACGACGATGAGTGGACATTATCACAGGATGTTCGAATATTCGATTGTCTGTTATGCTCTTGATATGGGGCTAGCGGTAGACGTGAACTAGCTGATGACGATTCATCATAATTCGAGGCATTGGATAACGGGAGTTCAGAAATCAATTCACTATTTCGTAAGTTATATAACTGAAATGAAAATAACAAAATAAACTAGGATTAAAAATTACTATGAAAAATTGATATCATGTAAAACAAACGGTGGGAACGTCGTTAATTAAATAAGAAATCTTTAAATATTCCCATTTATAATATTAGAACAAGACATATAGGCGAACAATATTGTTTTCAATTAGATCTTCTTCAGTCTTTACTCTAATTTACATAAATTTATATTTTCTATAGTTTGGTTTGTAAGGATTAGTTATGTTTTACGAGTTGATCACGGACTGATATCAGTTAGAGAACCATTGAAAACCAGGGAGTACTGGACAGCTGCTGTTTCATCCTAGTTTGGGAATCATCGGCAGTACGCACCCACTGGGATTCGAACCCAGGACCTTCCGGTTACAAGGACCTTGTATATATATAAAATTTTAATCAATGACGGTGATTTTGGGAATCAAATAATAATCTTAATAATAATAATGTGGTAAATGTTTTGAATGTAGTTAATAACGATTATAATGATAACAAAATGTTGATAATAAGGTTTATGCAGGTGATAAGAATAACAAAGATAGTATATCTACATAAGTGTATAAATAAATTAGGTCAAATCTTAAAAGGTGAAGTGGAACGATAATCAGAGTTTAAATAAATATTATAAAAGTACGAAGGAAGTGGAAAATAAGAAAGGGTGGGAGGGTTTCGAATACAATGCACCTAGGCAAGCAAGGGAGAGATAAAGGTAGAACAAACTTCTTTTGTATGCAAAGACTAGGATTGTTCTCTCGAATTCCCATAGATTCGGCTAGGTGTAAAAGACGGTTTCTGATTCCATTCGAAAGACTCGATGGAATACGATAGATAACTTTGAAAGCACTATTTTTTCCACTTGGTGACCGCCATCAATCAAATGAGCCAAAATAGAACTTCGTATGGATTTTATTTGACCTTCTCCGAACCATGAAGGAAGACGCTCATTAGTGCGTTTGTTAAGTTGTCTAGTTGTTCGCCCTATATAGCTTTCTCCACAGGAGCAACTAAATTTATAGATACACATAGAAGTGGCACAGCTAGGTAGCTTATCTTTCACTTGAGCAATCAAAATTGGTCGGCTGGAAAATGACAAACAAAGAGTGGCGGCAGTATAAGTCCGTTTTATCGCTCTCGATAATCTCAGATGTAAGACTTCACTAGCCACGTCCCCAATTTATTTATACACTTATATACATATACTATCCTTGTTATTCTTATCACCTGCATAAACCTTATTATCAATATTTTGTTATCATTATAATCATCGTTATTAACTACGTTCAAAACATTTACCACATTTTTATCATTATTATTATTAAGATTATTATTTGATTCCCAAAATCACCGTCATTGGTTAAAATTTTATATATAAATTTATGTAAATTAGAGTAAAGACTGAAGAAGATCTAATTGAAAACAACAATATTGTTCGCTTATATGTCTTGTTTTAAATAAGAAATGTTCAGAAAATGAAAATCATATTGAAAAGTGAAAAAATAATGTACCCGTTAACACTAGTGAACTTTATACAGAAGTTTTCAAGTATTGATTTTCGTAAGGATTTTTCTTTGGTTGGTCGGAAGATTTCATCATGAGCTGACGTCAGTTAGAGAACCACTGGAAAACCAGTCAGAGAGTACTGGACAGCTGTTTCATACAAATATTTTGGGAATCATCGACAGTACTCACTGACGAGCTTGCTTTGTAACCGTAAGGTCCTGGGTTCGAACCCCCTGTGGGGTGGGTGCGTACTGCTAATGATTCACAAACTAGGATGAAACAGCTGTCCAGTACTCCCTGCGGCTGGTTTTCAATGGTTCTCTAACTGATATCAATCCGTGATCAACTCGTGAATTACATACTGGTACATTAGTAATATGCACTGACTGTAACAACTCTTTCAAGATATGACGAATAATCGATACCTTCAACTTATGATAACTTGATTTTAGATTCGTTCAACCACCAGTTATATACACATACATGCACAAATATGTCACAATATCTGTATTTTTACTTTAACCTAAATAACCGACAACATTGTTGATTCCACCTGCTGGAATATGTTAAATAAAGCTATTTTTCCCTAAGAAATATCATCCACCCGAGCTTACTATATTTGCTGAAATATATCCCGCTAATACTCAACTAACTCTGATATTCTATAATGAGTAAATTCTGAAATTGTTCAGAAATGGTTTGATTATGCGTACAAAGTAGACGTCAATGCTGGTTTTCAGCATGACTGACAGTAATTCAGCAACTTGTGCTTAATCGAGGCATATTCAGAAGTAGCTCAGAACCTACTGGGTTTGTTTATCAGCGTTTTTTCAGCTCTACCTCGCTCTCTCTCTCAGCCCAGATGCCCAGAACTCACTGGCATTACTAAATTCAGATCACAATGGCAATTTTTCAGCTTTATTTCAGCACTAAAGGCATTATTTCTAAGGTTTTGTCACATTTAATTAAGCGTCCATTACTCATTTTAAGAACAACCAGCGTTATTTCAATGCATAGTGGGTTGAAAACATTTATTTCCCGATATGAATTTAAAACAAGCAATAAAGGTTAATAAAGCAGGATTTAATGGTGGATTCATCAAATTTCGGTAGAACTACTCGTCAGCTGAATACTCTACATACACGGATATATATACTTTTGAAAGTACATTAGGAGATATAAAACTGATAAGTAAATAAACCACATTGAATTAGTCATGCAGAACGACAGGTCCGAATGTTTTCCAGGTCATGCTCAAATAGATAAGTGGGGGAGAGGGAGTATGAGAGATTGAAATTAAGATAAAATGCATTACGCTTCAATTACATCAGGCCTAGAAGCTAGTACTTTGCAGCAACATATACAAGAAACGGATGTATACCTAAGATATGCTGATGACATTTTTATTGTCTGTAGAAGCAAAGCAAACACTGAAGACATGTTGATAAAATTCAACCCACGCCATCCGAATCTCAATTTCACAATATAACACGAAGAAAATGATACTATTAAATTCCCAGACGTTTTTCTAGCGAAAATGACTGATGGCACAATCGAAAGATCTATATTTAGAAAGTCTTCATGGACAGGAAAGTACATGCACTTCAAGAGTTTTGTTCCAATCCAGTATGAAAAGAACTTAGTCAGAACACTGTTCAATGGAACACGGAAAATTTGTTCTGACAGTACTGATGAGCATGAAATAAAAGCTCTGTAAAATATTTTATCTAAGAATGGATATCCTGAGGAGTTCATTAATAAATACTCTAAAGAAATTAACCCCTGCAAATCTATCCAAACATTTCCGAAGAAATCTCTCTATATCAGTTTACCATTCAAAGGAGATGATGTACGGGAAGTAGTCAAACGAAGACTCGATAAAGGCTTCAAGAGAACTTATCATGCTGCAAAACGTGTTTTCCTTAACACCATTAAGCGAGTGCTTCAACAATCTGGGAAAGACCAGTACTCGCCAATCCTCGACACTTCAAACTGCGTATATCAATTTGACTGTGTTTGTGGAAGCACGTATATAGGTCGTACAGCAAAGCGATTGTCTATTCGCATGATGGAGCACTTGCCAAAATGGTTGAAAACAGCTGAGTGCAAAGTGCCAAAAACCTCAATAACAAAACATCTTGTGGACTATGGACATGATATCGACGCTGTCATGTCATTCACTATTGTCAGCAGACAAAGAAACAGGAAGATGCTTGCAATTGCAGAGGCTTGTGCAATTCGAGTTTATAAACCAGGTCTCTGTATACAAAAGGAGATGGTCTTCACTCTGAATCTACCATGGTAATACGTTTTACTTATTATTATTACTATTATTATTCTTGATTCATTTAAAACTATCCTTTATCAGTAGCATTATCTTAACTCACTTCAACATTATTAGTACTGTTATTGTTATTATAAATATTACTATTGATATTACTCTGTTTATAACTCTTGTTATATTCTCTAATGACTAATTGTTTATGTAAGTGATGTAATTGAAACGAAATGCATTTCATCTTAATTTTGATCTCTCCTACTCCCTCTCCCCCACTTATCTATTTGAACATGACCTGGAAAACATTCGCATCTGTCTTTCTGCATGACTAATTCAATGTAGTTTATTTGCTTAACAGTCTTATATCTCCCAATGTAATTTCAAAAGTACATATATCCGTGTGTGTAGAGTATTCAGCTGACGAGTTCTACCGAAATTTGGTGAATCCACCATTAAATCCTGCTTTATTAACCTTTATTGCTTGTTTTAAAGCATAGTGGGTTCATTCTAGGTAGATAAAGTATTCGTTTACCATAAAAGGACATTATCGATGCATAGGTTAGATAGAATTAGTTTAGAATTATTGTAAGCCTCAATAATTCTTATGACTTTTTGCTATTAAGAAAGAAGAATCATAGTATAAAACAGTAAGCACAGCTTTCATGTCCAACTGAAATAACAGTACAAACGACACAGAACACAAAAAGCTTTATGGACATTTTCATTTCAGATATGGCATGTGAAAGGCTAAGTGTGTACTGCAATTCACTCGGATCAGTTATTACAATCAACTAGACGAATAAGACGCTTGTAAAAGCAGTGCAACACAAGGTGAAAAGAAACCAGAAATGTATAAACGAGTGAGTGGTGGTCAGTAAATCAATATAGAACTAATCGATAAAGTTATTATGTCACAAAGTAAATACAGAAATACAATGAGACTATAATGGGTGAACATCCTTGAGAGAATGTTTCGTTTCTGTCACAGTTGGATTTATTCTAGTGTCTATTTTGTATGGTTTTGTTTCATGAGTGTATCACACGGCGAGTTTTGGATTCTGAAAATAAGTTCGAACCCCTCGGTGCATAAACTTATCACGATAATCGATAGTTTAGTAATTAACACATGGTTAATCATCTAGACGTAGGCAGAAACGTATATTTAATGAATGGCTTCGTTCTTCAATTTTAAACTTCACGCCTCATCTCAACTGCTACAATTACAAACAGTCAAAATGACTGTAGTCTTCTTAACTTTATGATTTTACCTTTGATAAGTGTTTCTAATAGACACACGTGATCCAAGATCATTAATCACAAAGTGTAAACTAGTAGCATTTGCCAAATGTTTCAAATAAGATCACTGTATTTTTTGCTACACAAGCTTCAATAGCGAAGTTCGAGACCGAATTAACACTTTAGGTTGATGATGAAAACTGGTAATCATCGTTAGATGCTTTACATTCTAACAACACACTACGTTTTATGACTGATAGTTTTGAAAACGTATTGTATATTCAGACGAGACTGTGAAGTTACTACATCGACTGAGATGGTTGGGACATGTGTTACGTAAGCCTAGCCTAGCTGACGTAGGGTCAGCTTGGAAAAGAGCCAGTGGTGGTTAAACCAAAACATGGCTTCATCAGTCAATAAAATCTACAATAGTTAGTTTAAGCCACGTAGGAAGAAGCAAAGTTCCTGGTTGGGGTCCTCAAGACAGTATAAACCGATGAGGGCTGGAGACAATCGGTGATATGGCTCAAAGTCGTAGTTGTCAATAGCTGGCGCAGATGTATCCACTCCTTGTGACTTATAATTCCCAATAAAACTATATTGTTCTTCGATATTACTATTCCTTTTGCCTCATATCTCTGTTTACTGTCTCTGTTTTGCATTTCTTTTTACTTTCTTCTCTTGCTTTGTGTGCTACATAGAGTGACTCGAACGGCTGCACACCAGTGCAAAATTCTACGTTGAAATTAGACAGGCAAACAGATTCAGGCAGTGTGGGAAATACTCAGTACATTTCAGACTTCTTACAAGAATGTTGACAATCCTGAGCATACCACCAGAGTGGTAAGCTAATAAAAAGAGGTGCTCATTTGAGTGTATGAAGTTCAGTAGTTATCAATAAAGTATGAAATGAATATAAGAGCATAAAAGTTATTTTTCATGGTGACTTTATGATAGGATTAAGTAACAATAATGCCAATGAATACCACAGATGCGTCGGTGGTAAAGCGGTTAGGACGCTCGCCGACCATGCACATGGTCCGGGGTTCAATCCCCGGTCGACGCACTCCTTTACCTCTCTGAGCCAGAAATAATGCTGGTGAAGAGGACAGGTTGAGCATGAGGCTAGCAACCCCATCCTGTAAAATAAACAAGCCACTAGCTTGGAGCCCTATGTTGCACTGGGGAACGTGAAGGAAAAAAAATACCACAGATAGAAGTTGTTGGTAATTCTTTTGGATGAAAACACTCAAAATACTTTCAACTATTACATAACGAATCAACATAGAACTTAACACAAACATGGACCAGTTTAAGTTGTATTGATACTTCAGATAAGAAACATGAGTAATAAAGGTCAGATCAGGGATTCTCAGAATCTGGAAGATGCTGAGGAGCAAACATAGCAGTGTCATCATCAAAGATCTAAAGTCAAGTCTCCAGTCATCGATTCTTACCGTTCAAAGGATTTCAACAAGGCGACATTCACCCTATTACATGCATCAGGCAAATAACTGTAGACTAACTGTTACATACTTAACTTTAGACTAAATTTATTTCAGCTGGCATCTCATGTGTTACGTGTGCTAGTCACCTCAACAGATGAAAACTGTTAAGTTTCCTGATACTCTAAGCTTAATCTAGTCCACCTAAGGCAAAAAGCTGGTGACCGATGAATATATAGGAGAGTTATCCGAGAAATCAACAGTATCACGAAATAATCTTTTCCTATTTAAACCAATATATCACGAAAATCATAAAGGAAAATATTGACTGTTGGTTCAAGCCAAAATTCACAGACTGTCAACCAGTGAAAACCAATCTTCGGATGTTTGGCATGCGATTCGCCCCTGTAAAATGTAAGAGGGTGCTGCAGGATTGGACTTCACCAACCCCTAGATTAGAAATAGGAAGTGAAGTGGTAGAGCACGTTGACCGCTTCACTTATTTGGGAAGTACCATCAGCCCCAAAGGGTTGACCTCCGACGAAATCTCAGCACGAATACAGAGGGCTAGTTTCGCTTATGCCAGCTTACGCCGTCTCTGGCGTAGACGTGATATCCGACTATCGACCAAAGGGCGTGTGTACTGCTCAACAGTCCGCTCCGTCCTCCTTTATGGCTGTGAGACCTGGCCATTGAGAGCAGAAGACATGAAAAGATTAGCTGTCTTCGATCATAGGTGTCTGCGTTCCATCTCCCGCGCGAAGTGGTATAATAAGGTGAGCAATATTAAGGTTAGGCGTCGAGTGCTAGGTAAGGAGGGGAAATCAGTCGACGAGACTGTGAAGTTACATCGACTGAGATGGTTAGGACATGTGCTACGTATGCCTAGTCATCGCCTTCCTCGACAATGGGTAATGTTAGCTGATATAGGGCCAGGCTGGAAAAGAGCCAGCGGCGGTCAAACGAAAACATGGCACCAGTCAATGAAATCCACAACAGTTAGTCTAAACCACGTAGGAAGGTGTAGACTTCCTGGTTGGGGTCCTCCGGACAGTAAAAACCAATGGTGACATGGCTCAAAATCGTTCTCAGTGACACAGATGCATCTTTTTTTTTACTTTACTTCGGCTATCTCCTACGGGAGGATGAGCCGGCTTCATGAACATCTCGAATCATCGCTGCCCAGGCGCGGCGATCTGATGCAAGGTTTTGCGACAGTTTGTAAGAGAGTGACTTATGATTTCCAATGAAACTGTTTTGTTCTCCGTTATTACTATTCCTTTATCTCACACCTCTGTTTACTGTCTATACTATGCATTTCTCCTACTTTCTTCTCTTGCTTTGTGTGCTACATGGAGTGTAGCGACTTGAACTGCCACACATATGTGCAAAGTCCTATGTCGAAAACTGACTGACTGACTGAGTGAAAACCATAGACTATGTAGAGCGAAAATTTCTCACCTTCAAACTATGTGCTGTATCATCTTTCAGATACTCACTTCAAATAAAGGGGAAAGTTATAAACGTTCACAATGACAAACTGGAACAAAGTTTATGAGATAGTTAAATATGGGCTAGTATATGCACTGACCATAACACCTGTGTCACTATCTGACAAACAATTAAGAGCTTAAGCTTTTTCTAACAACCATTTACACATAGAAAGCCAACAAATCTTGGAATTTTTAAAATTTACAAATGCGTTACATCGTTAGAGATCATACTATCACAATTTACTGAGTCAACCAATTAAAGAGAAATCATCCACCTAAACTACAAACCTCTAGTATGCTTTTGTAAAAAATTATATTTGTAAAGTCTCAGCGAGATTGAAATGAGTAATTTCAACGTTTCGTTCGACAGTTCATTTGAACTCTAGTATGCTGTTAACGAAGATGGAGACTAGTTCAAAGTTGATCCAGTCATAAGTGCATGAAAACAGTCAAATGAAACTTTACGGGAAAAAAAACTATTTTTCACTATGGAATTTCATCCATTCCATAAACATTCTTGCTGATACGAAGAGAGAATCACAGTATAAAACTGTAAGCAGGATTTTCCTGTCTATATAAAACTACAGCACAGGAAACACCATTAAAATACGCCAAACTTATGATTAGAATACAAAAACCACTTTATGAATGCCCAGATTTCAAATGCAGTATATTAAAAGCCAAGTACCTATGGCAACTCAGTAGAATCAGTCATTACAATCGAATAAATAAATGAGCGAAATCTTCAAGTAATTATTTTCTAAGGTAATGAAAGTCGAAGTAAACATAAGCTATAATTGTGCACACGAGTGATTGGTTGGTAGATCAACACAAAACTAAGCACAAACGTTACCATATCACAAAGTAAATACATAAACAGGGTGAAACTATAGTAGGTGAATGTGAATCAGAGATGATTCTTTATCACAGTAAAATTCAATCTAATGTCAATATTTCATGGTTCCCATACACGTGTGTGTGTGACGAGAGGAGTTCGAATCCCATGGTGCATAAACACATTAAAACCGTTCATAAATAATGAAACAAATCAAGATTGAATACAAAATTTACATCGGAGGATTATATGTGCAATTATGCACAGAAAATGAGAACTCATTGATAAACCCACTCACTCACCTTCAGTATATAAACTCTCCTATTTCTTGACCAAGGAAGCCTGACTAGACAGTATGTCCCATCAGGAGATATTTTGCCTATAGTAGATTCAGGACTGAATAAAACTGTCTGCCGACCAAATGAGCCAAGAAACTTATTAATTCGTAAATCCACTAATGCGAACTGAGTGATCATATCTCGAGCCAAGTGAACAACTGCCAAGCCGCTGTGAATGTCTAACACAGACTTAAAATGCAGGTTCTTAACGTAAACCAATGATGGCGTATGATTACCTGTATGGAAGACAAATGTGCAGGTATGTGATTGTATTCAAAATGTTCTGCCATTTTTGTATATTCTCTGCGCTTCCTCAAAGAAAATACAGAACACGACTTCCTAAAGTTGACTATATTCTGTCTGGTAAGGCAGAATGCTGAAGTGCAGTCATGTGGCACTTGATAAGTGCACACCATTACTTTGTCCGGAAAATTAAAAAGTTCTGTATGTGTTCTGATATGAGAAAGAATATTCGTTACCTCTATGGGATTTTCTCCATAATTCCAATGTACACTGGTGTACAATCCTGCCCGGTAAAACAGGTGCGAAGAAACACAAATTTGGTGCATTGCAAGTAGTCTTATTAGGCTGACCAATCTTACTCTCTTCAAGTCCCATTACAAGTGATAGCTCATTGTGTATGTTAAAAGAAGCGCTAGCTGCTTAGCGAAGTAAAACAATAGACAATATCCAATGTCATTGTCTCGAGGTGATATCTTGCGTTCAAAATGATATGTCCGTCTATTCAAACCCCCGTGATAAATTCTATATAACTTCTTCAAAGCACCACCATTTATTTCACAAAATGCAGTCCGTTTAGACTCACCTTTTTTGTTAGTGTAAAAAGGCTTCAAGGCGGTGCTATCTGTACTTACCCAATCCCTTTTAGAAACAGTTGACCTTAACCGTTCCTGTTGGTTTCCCTGTGACTGTCTATCCTGGTGAAAACATTAGAGAAGACTGATCATGTCCATGGTCTTTTCTTAGAGTGCCAACATCCTGATTACAATTCGTCAGTTCCTACGGTACTATTAGGAGAAGCGATTCAAACTCTCAACTCGTAGTTCACATCAGTCGACAAACGTGTGGCCTTTATTTAAACCCTTTCAAAAATATCAGTTTTCCTGTAATCAAATCATTGTGAACTGGACGCAGTATTCTAGTCTGACATTAAATACATGCATAGAGCAGCGAATGATTTACCGGTATTCTGATGAAGAACCCCTTGTATCGCTCTTCATGATCTTAAACTGTGATATACAGCTGCTGACCATCATGTCGTAGTTTATATGTCACGACTTGTGATGACTTATAGTCCTTGAGCGTCTGGGGTGAAGAGATGATAATTCTTTCTACGTTATATATGGTTGCACACCACTGCATGTTTCGCTAAGTTGATGGAGAACGTGCATGCCTCGGGTCGATCTAACTAATAGTCCACAACGTCGATATGTCACTGTCATCGTCGAGCTCTCTTCATATTTAAACGTCATTTGCACAGAGACCTGAAGATTTCGTGAGATCAGGCAGTTCATTAATATTAAGGACATCATTGGACACCACTCAGCAAAATTGTTCACGAATATAGTTTTAAGGTGGTTACGGCTTTTTGCCTCCTATACAATAAGAATTTGTTGATCCATTTGTGCACGTCACCTTGACTACAAAACCTTTTAGTTTAGATATGATGGAAAAAACCTCTGCTATGTATTCCATCGAAAGTTTTGTATGAAGACGTGGAGTGAAAGTCGATGGGTTTGCTGTTATCCGTTATGTATAACCAGTTTTGTCTACTCTTATTGTTATTCATTAGAACTGTTTCCTCGGGTTCAAAGGAGAACACACGTCTTCAAAAACACATCTAAATTTCATCCCGTTTTCTTCAATCCTCCTTGGGTGGCCCCACGATCACCCATAAGCATTCATCTCCCCTTTAAACATGTCTCCCACGTCATCATCCAATTGACACCCAACTAATCGCCTTCCATTTGAGTTCTACCCGAGACTCTGGTTTGTGCACGATGTCGTTCAGTGGTCTCTCTTCTCCATTTCCTCCGGCATACATTATGGGCAATAGTTTCATTGTTCTTCCGTTGGCAGCGCTTCCTCCTGTGTACCGTTTTTACTCAACCGACGTTCAACACACAGCGAAGTAGTTCATTGATGAAAGTCTGAAGCCTTTTGTGAACGTTTCACTTGACGCGTGCACCAAGTCTCTGAACCATGTAAAATAGCATTATCCACTTAATACTTTCCCATCTTCGTGCTTCCCTCGGCCTGCTGCATTTATCAGTCCGACACAACAAGGAATTTCACCGATGATAGTAAGCAGTCTTGTCTTACCCCTGTTACTTGACTTCAAAGAGCCCTGAGTTTGTCGTCGTAAGCCACCTGAAATGTAGCACTACCATACAACTGTTGAATGAGCTTGATAATGATTTGGGGAACTCCATAGCTTTGAAGTAGTCTCCATATTATTTCGCCGTGATCGTGGTCACAGGCGTTTTCCAAAAGTCTGACACCTAAAAAAGTTAAAAATTATGTGTGCAAATAGTTTTGTCTTTATAAAAAGAAGAACGTGTTTCTTTGAGTTGCACTTTGATTATGCATCAATTCAGGTAACAGAAACCCCACTTCTTCATGATTAAACCAACACTAGATCTAAATTGAATACAATAGAAATATATATTTCTTACTGCTCGGCCGGGCGAGTCGGCCCTTCCCATAAGCAAGACAAACTTCAGTGAGTACGAGTCAAATCCACCCTTTTCCTCTCCATAATCAAATATCAAATAAGTAGACAAATCAAAGTAAATAAAACTATATTGACAATGAGGAGCATGAAACTAGGTCCATGAAATTCAGGGCCAGTTTTTCCCAGGAAGTAATAGTGGTAATATGATATATTATGCTTAGCTTGTTGTTTTATATTATTTAAGCATTACTTTTACGAAGACTGAGAGGTTAATTGTTCTTAACACACAGAAAAGCCTCGCATTTACAACTTCTGAATAGATACTTATGTAGCTTTAGCTTCATACCTTATCTCATTTGAGTAGAAAGCTGCCAAAGAAGAATGACTAGTGTCTCCTCAGAAAATGGCATGGAATCGTGCTCTTGTCCACGCCAAGTAAAATACGAAGTCGGGCCATCCTGAAGAGAACAAAAGATGCATTGGATACAGAAATCCACTAGCCCAACCTGAACAAGCTGGATTCAGGAAAGGTAAATCATTCGCAGATCAAATTGCATCTATACGCATTGTCATCATCGAACAAAGTATAGAATGGCAGTCAAATCTTTCTCCACCTCAACTTCATCGACTTCGGAAAGGCCTTCCATAGACAGCATTGATCGAGAAGTAATTTAGAAAATACTTCAACACTGCGTGTAGTGCTCAGGTCTTTATCAACCTCATTCAATACCTAAGTGACAATACCAAGTGTCACGTGATCCGCAATGACTAATCCAGATACTTGATCGTGCCTGTAAAAATGGCATGCATTTTCATGTAAATTTATGTTTATATGAAAATATAAATTATTATTATAGGTTCTAGAAGTGAATGAAGGAGTAAGACAAAGGTGGCTGCCTATTATCACCTATGATATTCCTAATTGTGGTGGACGGGACTATGCGTCAGACCGTGGGGAGCGAGGAGGCAGGAATACGCTGGACTATCGATAAGAAGACTTCAGAAGATATGGATTTCGCAAGTAATTTATATCTAATGTCGCACAAACTCGAAGACTTCCAGGCGAAAATCAAAAAACTGGCTGAAGAGGCAATGAAGACAGGACTCCAGGTGAACATAGAGAAGACGGAGGTGATGCAGATTGCCAACCATCAGAAACAACAACAACTAGCACCAATCACCACCAAAAGGTGAGATTTAACGGAGGTTGCCTCCTTCACTTATCTATGAAGCATCGTATCAACTGCAAATGGAATGGACGAGGGTGTCAAATTCGGCCAGAGTCGGAAAGGCGAGTTACGCCTTCATCAACCTGAAGCCAGTTTGAAAGTCTTTTGCACTCAGCATAAGGAACAAGATTCGGATTTCTGACACAAATGTCAAGTCAGTGCTTCTATACTGGTCGGAAACTTGGCCAGTGTGTTACGGAAAGGATTTCCAACAAGTTACAGACTTTCATTAACAGCTGCCTCCACTGGCTCCATAATGAAGATCAAATAACAAGATATAATTTGCAACAAAAAGTGTAAGAACAAACCAACCAACAAATTTGTGGAATATGGAGGTGGATAGGGCATATATTGAGGAAAGCTTCGAATGACATCGCACGCAATACAGATCATCGCCCAAGTGGAATCCAAATGGGAAGCGACGTCGGTGCGAGGGTGGTACTGCAGGGGATCGTGTAAGAAAGAGATGAAAGTTCGGGCAGTCGTGGACCCAGCTGAAGAGGATGGCAGAAAATAGAGGGAAGCGGAGATATGTTGTTGAAGCCCTATATTCAACTTGGAACACCAAGGAAAAGCAATACTAATAACATATAATGCAGCTAATCTCGCAATTTCCCATCACTTCTACGCCAAAAATTCTTATTTCGTTTGCAATCATACGAACACTGCACATTCCCTAGCCTATCTTCTGCTTTCTTTGCAGACACAGAGTAAATAAATGCATAAATTTATTCTCATACTACAGTACATGAGGGACGCCAGTTTACAGGCATCATCAAACTGTTACAGAAATAGAACCATATAATTCAGTCACAATTTACAGGTTGTAGCAAGATATGCCTTACATGTTCGCTGGAGATTATACATACACTTGATAAATGTTAATTCCAGCAGTACAAAATAGCCTTTTCACTTATATGCAATCATTGCTGTGCACAGTTGGAAAAATCTGCTAGACTGTCAGTGAGTGAAACACAACAGGAAATACAGAAGTATTGTCTTCGCATTAACAAAAAACCAGGTCTTTGGTAGATGGATTATGGGGGCCTGGGAAAAAAATTAAGCTTGAGGCCAATTTTCATTCATAACTTTGTTGTATGCAGAATCCTTGAATTATAGTTCATTGATGTGTTATTTTGAAATCAGTGATATGTTTATCTCATTTGATCTGCAATGTCATTGTTGGGAGTAAATATATATAAGCTTTAGATGCATTAATTAATGGATTTCTACTGCTTGTGGGTATTTTCTTATTGTGAGGAAGGTTTATGAATTTCAGATGTTCCGACAGGAGTTGAGAATATTAACTGCTCAGCAACATTATGGATATAAGTTCATCACATTATCTAAGGAAGGGTGTGTTGTAGTTGGTGAGGGATGTATGGTGCCCAACGAGCGTTCATCTGTCAATGTGATGTCGTGGTGAGTTATACCTTTTTCATGTTGTAGGTTTATGTCCATTTTATTCCACTTATTGTGTTGGGTAGTACTTTTACAAACGAGATTTCTTGTCTGTTTGAAGATACGTATCTTAATCCACACATATCTTGAAATAACAGTAAACGCCATGTAGGATTATTTTTGTCCCACAGATTTAGTCCTTCCTCAATACTGACGACACAGAGTCTTGGCTTAGCTATAGTTAAAACAGAATGACTTGACTTAAACTTTATCTGTTTCTAAAACATAAAATA